ACTTGGGAATATGCAGACATGATTAGCGAACACTGTAGAAGCAACCAAGGAAATTCAAAAAGATTTAAACAAAATTCACGAGTGGGCAAATATATAGAATTTAAATGAAGAAATGTTGTGCTAAAATTGTATAATGGAATAGTAAGACCTCGTTAAAATAGTGTATATAATTTTGGTCACAACATTCTAGAAGAGATTTTGCTGCTCTGGAATCAGTCCAGAGAAGATCAACCAGATTCATTCTGGGGCTCAAGGGAATGAGATACAGTGACAGGCTGAAGAAACTGAACCTTTTCAGTCTTGGACAGAGAAGACAATGAGGAGAACTGAGACAATATTCTCAAAAGCCTCAACAAAGCTTAACCTCTGGCCATCTTCAAAATCTACCGCAAATCATGAGCCACAGGACACAAGTGGAAAAACATTTAAAGCTGAGATCATGAAGCTCTTCTTCTTACAAAGGATGCTCCAGTCAGTCAGCATTTCAGTGTGCCAGTCAGTGTGTCATTCTGCCTGTTAGCATGCCAGTGTGTCAGGAAGCTGATATTCATTCCAGTGGATAGGAAAGTGCTCGGTTATCACAGATGTCCCAGCTGTGTTGTCGGTGGGGGGCAGGGCGAAGCTGGGGAAGGTTAACACAGCCCTGAGACCCCCGCCCCCACACTCACCTCTGTCCGTCTCCTTAATCTCTGTGGTTAAGTGAAGCCCCCCTACACCAGCCCCTCAGCCGCAGGGAGATGGGCACTAATCCCCCCCAAACTCAGACACGTGCTCATCGCCGGGGGGACCCCAGATTTCAGCAGCGCTGAGTCAGAGTGGCCCTGACAGCCGGCATCTCTGATCTGCAGAGATACAGAGAAAGAGAGAGATTAGAAAGAAAGATACAGTGGCTTCATTGTGCTTTGTGTGACTGCTGCACGTGTGTGTGCGTGTGTATGTGTGCACCTGTGTGTGTCTGTGTGTGAGCTTGTATGTGTGTATGTGAATGTATATGTGTTCGTATGTAAAAGTTAGTAGGTGCATGTGTGTGTTTGTGTGTGTTAAGTGAAGTTAAGTGCATGTGTGTACGCGAGTGTGTGTGTCCGTGCATGAGTGTATATGCCCGTGTGCACGAGTATGTGTCTGTGTGCGAGTGTGTGTGTCAGTGTGTGTGTCTGTGTGCGAGTGTGTGTGTCAGTGTGTGTGTCTGTGTGCGAGTGTGTGTGTCAGTGTGTGTGTCTCTGTGCGAGTGTGTGTGTCTGTGTGAGTCTCAGTGTGGGAGCTGTGAGTGCGCTGAGCCCAGGGCGATTCCTGTGTGTGCTGGTGATAAAGGGAGCTGAGAGGAAGCAGAGGGGAGAGAGACAGGAGAGGCGGGGAGGAGGGGAGAAAGCAGGGAAGCGTCTGAGCCAGGAGAGGAAGGAACCTCTTTCCAGAACTGAGCTTCTCCAGACTCACTGTCAGTGTCCTGGTCTCTCCCGGCCTCGGCTCTGCCCACAGGAAACTCCAGCTCCTTCTCCGTCCTCCCAGCGCCCGAATCGTTCGCTCTTTAAAACGATCCAGATTCAGGGTCCCGTACGGCCTGCAGAGCGCCCGCTGGCCCAGGTTCTGTCACTGGGCTGGCCAGGCCTGCCACACGGAGAGGCACTGAGGGGTTAACAGCACGGCTCCCCTGCGCGCACACGTCCTCCAGCAGGAATACACAGCACTGGGGAGAAGAAGAATCTCGGAATAATAATTAAGAATCGCCTCTAAACATCACCGTACTGCAGGAATTTTACAGATGAAAGTAAATGATTAAAATAATTAAATTCTTCAAGATGACGAGCCGGAGTGCAGTCTGGCCGGCGGACATTTGTCAGTAATTAGTTAATTAATCCGAATGCAAATGATGAGTTCTAACGAAGCAGTCAGGCTGAACAGGGATGGCAGACACGAGAGGTGGGGAGTGAGAAAAGGAGAAACGATGATACGGCCCTCTCTCCCCTCTCATTTCCACATTAATATGTATTTTTTAATTTTTACAGTATAAACAGAGAGACGGTCCTTGTTCAAGCTGTTGGCTCAGGAAGAAGCAGGGGCTGTGATTTTGAACCAGCAAGAAACTGGGCCCTTCAGAGGGCAGGAGTCGAGGTGCCAGCAGCAGAGCTGGAGCAGCAGGAGAGAGGAGGAAAGGAGGCAGTGAGAACTGGGTTACCAGAGAGAGGAGGAGGGAGGAGAAAGGAGGCAGTGAGACCTGAGGCAGCAGAGAGAGGAGGAGGAGGGAGAAAGGAGGCAGTGAGAGCTGAGGCAGCAGAGAGAAGAGGAGGAGGGAGAAAGGAGGCAGTGAGAGCTGAGGCAGCAGAGAGAAGAGGAGAAAGGAGCGGGTCTGCTGGAGTCAGTCAGGTTGCCAGTGCTGCTGGAGCCCTGGTTGATGACAGTCAGACAGTGATAATGGAGCTTCGATTGGCTCGCAGTGTAGAGTCCCCTCCTCTCCACGCTCCACACTCAGGCCTGTTCTGCTTATCCAACACTTTCCGCCTCAGCGTGCCCACACTGCCTCTGTCATTTCCTGCTTGATTGCAGGCACAGCCCACATAGCATGACAGTCCCATTGGCTTCCTCTCAGACAGATTCACTCCACACTGGCCTTCCAGGTAGACAAGACACTTGTGTAACACAGCAGCCCTGCTGGCTGCAGTCACTCTTACAGCCAAACAGCAGCTCCTTATCTCCTGAATATCTCCTCAGACTTCATCGAAGGCCTCTGCATGAACTGTTTGGTAATTTATTCAGAGTTTATGCTGCTTCAGCTCTTGATCTTATGTTTCAATAATTTTGTAAACAATACACATAAATATAAACTACAAACACAAAATGGGACATTTTCTTTGATATAACAGTACCTGTCTGAACTATTATCGCCCTACTCCCCACCTCACAACCTTCGCTCTCCTGTCTGCCCCACAAGCCCGTCTACACTCTAGGGGTGACGGGGCTTCTCCTGCTGCGCCCCCAAGCTCTGGAACTCTCTGCCCAAGGATATCAGAGAGTCACCTTCTCTAAACCCCTTCAAATCCAGACTCAAAACCTTCTTTAGAAAAGCCTTTACTCAACTGGTTCCATTCTTTACCCCTCTGCTTCTGCTTTTCTTAGTACCACTATCCACGGTCTCCTCTGTGTATTGTAATTGTGTTTTATCTTGTGTATTCTTTTTATTTATTGTTGTTGTCATTCTGTAAAGCACTTTAAGAAGCCACCTTTAAAGGCTCTATATAAAATAAAGTTTATTATTATTATTATCATTATTATTATTATTATTATCCAAAGTAAAGTCTCAATGGCAGGAGACACATGCTTTCCCTGTGTGTGAAAGGCTGAAAGGTGCCATTTTTACACAAAAATACCTGATTCCACAGGCTGCCTGTCTGGTCGACACTGGACCACACTGAACTGGACTGAGGAGCACTGGTCCGGCTTGGTTCAGTGAACCAGGCTAAATTGGATAAATAACATGAAACAGGTGTTTGCGTTTATACAGCACATTCTTCTCCAAAAGGACCTCGAAGGTCTTTGCACATGCCGGGGAGCTCAGTGAGGTGCGACACGCAGCAGCCCCACTGCACAGCACACAGGGCAGGAGAGAGGAGCCTCTTCGTCACTCGAATTGAGGGGGAGCTTAACAGACGGCAGATTGTTCACCCCGCTCCTCTCTGGAACAGTGTCACGAGGGGGCAGAACCTCCAACAGTACAAAGCCCCAGTCACCATACCGGGGCAGTGGAGTAGGGAACACCACCAACAGCCCTCACTGACCAGACCCAGCCTTGCCCAGCATGTGAGATCTGACCGGATCAGGCTACTAGCTAGTACAGCTGCAGGCAAGCTGACTACACTAGGGTTCAGATGGACACAGTAGCTGCGTCAGCATGTGTAGGCTGCAAAGGAACAAGTACAGGTTGAAAATCCTTTGTCAGATATTCCAAAATCCAAAAACCTCCAAAATCCGAAACTTTCCAGCTCACAGTGATGTCATCAATGACGTACCCTCTCCCTCAGGTTTCTCGGACCTGATGTAGTTGTAATGTCTGGGGCTTCATTTATCTTCAAGTTTGTAAGCAGTGATCATCATGTTTTGTTTAGTTTTTTTGTACAGCAAGTACAAAACGTTATTTTTACGTGAGATCTGAATTTCACCTCCATGTATGAGTGTAACTTGACTAGCGTCATTACTTGTACATTACTTTAAAAAATAAAATGCTGACTTTTTTCAGTTTTCATTTTAATTACCTGTAATTCAATGCTTTGTTTTTATACCTTACATAAAACTTAATAACTGTATAGTAAAAAATAAAATACAAATGGCATACATGTACTGTAACCTTTTAATCAAAACAACATCATAGGTGGAGACTGATATCTAACCTTTCTGATGGTATAATGTTTAAAAAATCATTACAAATTTATATTAAACTACATTCAGGGTATATGTATAAGCTACACTATGAAATGTAAATGGATATCTTGTTTAGACTTGGGTCCCATCCCCAAGCTGTCCCATTTTATAGATGCAAATATAACAATATTCCGAAATCCGAAATCCGCAACACATTCGGTCCCAGGAATTTCGGATAAGGGATTCTCAACCTGTAATAGGTTTATTCCCTGCTGAAAAGAGAAGAAAGAAAACACAACGTTTCTTCAGGTGTGAGCTATGTGACCTGACACGAGAAGAAGGCTCCACAGCCGAAACGTTGTATTTTCTTTCTTCTCTTTTCAGCAGGGAATAAACCTATTTGTTCCTTTACACTAGAATGGTCCTGACTGCGTCAAAGTCTAACCAGTCACAGCCAAAAAAATTTTAAGTCGTTACTTAGCCTTTGATAGGGGGAAACAACAATACTGAGCATTATTCTCCCACATTTCCCAACATTACGTCTTTCATACAGCTGCTCTCCCGTCACAGACGCTCATAGGGCAACAGCGCTGAAAACAGCTACTCTGTTCATTGGCTGTTTTAGATCACGTGTTTGAAGGCGAAACTCGGGTCGCATGCCAATGACGCAATTACATCGCGCTGGGGTCTATATTTGCTGTGTAATAATAGAGTTAGGCCGGTTCTGACAGACGCCGGGAAGAGAGAAATTGTTAAATACCGAGGGTTGTTTACGGACAGAAAGCGGAGCCTGAGGTATCAGCATGGAATATCTGATCGGAATCCAAGGACCCGATTTCGTCCTGGTGGCCGCTGACACCGTAGCGGCCAGCAGCATCATTCAGATGAAACACGGTGAGGGCGGCCCGTGTGCCGGCGATTTCGGGTTTCTGCAGGTCTGTCTCTCAGAGGTCTGCGACGTCCCCTCAGTTCTGCCGTCAGTTTTGGGCCAAACCAAAACTGAGGTGCTTTTAGATGAGTGGGTTCTCGTACTCAGCTTTCAAATAAGCTTTTGAAGTTGTGAGTCTCTAGATACAAAATAAATCTGTTTGTGCTTTACTGTTCGTGCTTCAGTTTCGGGTTCACTGCAACTAGTCTCTAATCTACAGTCCCGTCACGATGTGGTGTCTCTGGCTTTCCTGGAGTCCCTGAACCGCCTTCTGGACTCGGAACAGCGGCAGTAGATTCGGGGGGTCCAGGATACGTTTGTGTTAAATGGCGCGGCGGGTTCCGCACAAGGCAGAGACAAACTGAACACGTCTCCTGTTGCTGAGCAGGACAGGGCCGGCAGGGTAGCGGTGCAGCTGGGTGCCTGCCCGCGAGGCGTCACTCAGCAGCGAAGTGAAAGCGGACAGATCGCTTCCACAGCGACTCTCCCTGCTCCTGAAAGATGAAGGAGCAGCTGTAGTAAGACCACGCGTGGCTGTATGCGTGTTTCTGGCGGGCAGGCTGTACGTCTGGGTCTACCTGTAATTTATTTTTTTTCCCGCGAAACAGTTTCTGGACTTTGAGAGAGTTAGCTGGAGGTTCTGGACACGGAAGAATACGCAGAGTGGTGGGTGAATACAGGGCTCAGCAGAGAGGGGCGCTGCTGAGCACCCCGACACATGGAGACAGTCCAGCCCCGCGCAGACAGGTGGAGGGGAATATCTCCCTGAGTGGATGACACGCCTCATGGCAACATGGGGATGTATTTATACATGTAAGGGCTGCGAGACTGACGTCTGTGTGTTCTCCTCCAGACTACGACAAAATGTTCAAGCTGAGTGAGAAGATCCTGCTGCTGTGTGTGGGCGAGGCGGGCGACACGGTGCAGTTTGCCGAGTACATCCAGAAGAATGTGCAGCTGTACAAGATGAGAAATGGTGAGACACGCCCCCTGTCTGCAGGACTGCAGCCTCCTCTCTTACCCCCCCAGCCTTCAGTGTCGTCTCATAGCCACATCAATACAGAACAGTGTTCCGTGGCTGTGATAGACTGTTTCATCGCCGAGCACTTCTACAAGTGCAGCCCCTCTCCCTTTGACATATAATCTGCTTCCTGCATTGTCTAGAGGTTATGGTCCAATCTGTAAAAAGTATATCGTACAATATTTACAAACCATATTTATTGCTTGTTCAGCAGGTATTGTACCAAATGAAATGATTTGTACTTTGCATTGCACCAGAAGCAGTGAGATGTACTGTACAGCTCAGTTTCTACTTTAAATATGTAGTCTGTTTGTGTGTTTAAATACTCCACATGTTATTTCTAACATTTTGTAGTTGGCAAACTAAATGCTAAAAACTATATACACAAAGCCCAAAACCAGTTATAAAACATGCAGTTATAGATTATATTATTTGTGCAAAAGCAGGCTTCTGTAAAAGCTTTGGTGTGACCCTGTGTTTTTAAAAAACATGTTGATACTTTCTTCCTGGGACCCCAGATAATGATGATGGATTGTATTAGAATCCACTGCAGCACCTTGTCACAGTGCAGTGGTCATGTTCCATGTGCATACAAATTGAGTGCACCAGATCTTAGGGCAAGTAATTGCTTTGATCGTAACTGAGTGTTGATTCCTTCCGTCTCTCTGTCCCAGGTTATGAGCTCAGTCCGGCAGCTGCAGCAAACTTCACCCGGAAGAACCTGGCGGATTACCTGCGGAGCCGGGTCAGTTTCTGCGGGGGGCCCTGTGTCTGCTGGCCGTGATGTGTTGTAGTAGCTGGTGCATCACATTAACCAGTCAGATCCAGTTGACTTGTCGTCCATTGTTCCTCACAAGTGACACCATGCATCTGCTTCCTTCTGCAGATCCATCTAGTCAAGAGAATGAGTCTTGTACTGCAAAACACTGATATTTATGGGTTAACTGTCATCTTAAAATCACTAAAATGTTGGAGGTCAACTTAGAATTGTATTTTTAAGTAAAGTTCTTACTAAAAAAATGGAGAGAAATGTACATTGTCTAAGTCTTAGGTACACAGCTGTGTAAGAGTCAGTAGTGCTTTGCCAGCGTTGAGCTGTTCAGGGCTTTCAGCTGTAGAAAATTGCAAATATGGGATCAGTGAATACTACAGGGATCTGTATTTGGAACACTGCGATTTTTAATTTATGTAACTATGTCTAGATAATGGATTAGTTAGTAGTTTATAGGTTACCTGCAGATAACAGGATTAGCAACCACTATGTTTATACTTGGCCAACTAAATTCAGAAAGACTTCCTGAAAAATTCTGGACAGGCAGCAACACCAGACAGGTTGCATTTAATGTAAGCATGTGCAGTGTGTTGCATGCAAGTAGCAGGTAGGAGAATAAATATCAGAAGGGGAATCTCTGAGCTACACAAAGGTACCTAATGGAGAAGACCTGTGTGTTTGTTTACAGATCTTTTGCATCTTCAAGACACTGTGGGGAAGAAACATAAACTTTAGCTGAAAGTGTAGAATTTGTATCTAGGAATGTTATGTTCAAATTGTACAGTTTTGGTCGCACTATTTCTGCTCTGGAATCGGTCCAGGGAAGGGCAACTGGGGACGTTCCTGGGCTCAGAGGAACTGAACAACTGAACCTTTATTATCTCAACAGAGAAGATTTCAAAGGGATCTGATCCCAATATTCAGAACATTCCCATACATGACAAAGTCAACCCTGGGGTTTCTTAAGAACCAGCAGTGCAGCACTGCTGAGAACAAGAGGCTTTCGTTACACAAAGGGTTGAGGGTGTCTGGAACGAGCTGCCCAGTCATGTTCAAGAACTGGCTGGATGTCAGTCATGACTGGGGTCAGTCAGATATAACCACCAAATGGGCTTGACGGTCCCAATGTCTCTACTTATTTGTGGGTGTGAAGGTTGTGTTGGAATTGGTGACAGACAGAAGTATCCGAGCGTTACTTTGTCACTGTGTTGGTGTCTCAGTGTGCTTCTATGTCAGGCCCTGCCCAGTGTTGAGTGTGTGAGGCTGTGTTGGTGTGCACCTCTGTGTGTGGGTTTGAGTGTGTGCATCAGTGTTTGTTGGTGCTCTGTCTGCACACACAGGTACAGCACACCTGCGCCCCAGGTCACATGACCCAGCGCTGCCTGCTGGCTCTCCCAGGGGTGCGTTGTGATCGCATGTTGTTTTTTCTTTTTTTTTCTTTTCTCGACACCTTCAGTTAATTTGTTAGGAAGCGCGTCACCGGCGCCTGTCACAATAGCAGAAGGGGAAAATAATTACAAAAAATAATTAAGGTAGATAATTAAGGAGTGCTGTGAGTGTACAGCTAGCGCGTCTCCCCTGAGCCCAGCCTGTGTCTGGGGGGCAGATCGTAGGCTGTAGTCTCACCAGCCACGCCCCAACCTCTCTCGCTGTTGCAGAGGTCGCTGTCAGACTGGGGGCTCCCCTGGTCCAGCGCGTGTGTGGAAGAGCTGCCCTGTATCTGTGCAAGCAAGGCCAGGCTGCTCCTGTGACATTGCTGCTTCTCATCTCTGCACCGCGGCTGTGTGGCAGGGCATCGCTGAGGACCAGGGCTCATGGTTATTGGGCAGGAAGAGCTCCAATCAGCCCATCCTGCTTGCTTGGATTGATGAAACGTGCAGATGGGAGGCCCTGGCATTTCTTCAGGCTTTGACAGCACAGTTGGGCAGCTTTTTTGAGACCTTTTTGATCTTTTGTATACAGATGTGCCTCCTCTTTTCTTATTCTTAAATATATAGTTCCACTTTTTTTTTTTTGTATAGTCCTTGATCCTCTTTGGTTGGTTCTGACGAAGTCCAGTTGGTTGTTTTTGGGTTGCCAGCAGTTTTTCTGGATGTTGAATAATTATTTCAAGTCCTCTCATCAGGCCCACCTGAGGAGCTGTGCTTTACATGCCACAGGCTCAATAGCGCCTCCTGGAGGACTGGCGCTGTTCCTCCTAACGTTGCTGCAGCTGCTGTTTGCGCCCACTGCTCCGCCCTGCCACCCTGGTGACACTTGAAAGGTTTCGCGTAGCCTCTTGAAAAGTCCCAGCCAGCCAGGTTGGCAGTTGTTGTGTCCCAGCCAGCAGCTTCTTAATTTACACAGTTTGCGTTATTGTTAATGTTCGATGAGGCTGAACACCGCGTAGCCCCATGCAGTGGCATGTGGCATTCTGTCAGTGCCAGCGAAGTAGTGTCTGGTGCCGTGGGTCAGGGGTCAGTACGCTGTTGGTGAATGTTGGCGCAGTGTCGCTTTGCTGTGTCTTATCGTGGAGTCAGCTTTGCACACCAGCAGTGCACAGGAACAGCGCGTATGTGTAGAAGTGTCATTGTGGACTGCGCCGAGTACAGCAAAGCCGAGACGCTGAGTGTGGAGCTCAGGTGCAGTGTGGGGGCTGTGGAGGGGTGAGGGAGGTGCTGTCAGGTCTCCAGTGAGCCGCGGTGAAATTAGCCGGAATTGATGGTTTGGTAGTGACAGTGAAACTGTAACCACACAGGCAGGTGTGGGGGGTTGGGAGGATGAGCTCAGGCGTTGTCACTTCTCCAGGGAGGAAGGAGCTCCCTCAGTGCTCTGTTGAGGGGGAGGTGAGGGGGTCGTGGCTTGGATAGAGAGGTGTGAGGCGCCCCAATCGGCCTGTCATCACACCCCCACCCAGCCCTCCTGTGCACACAGGCCCCGCGTGCTCCCTCCCGCCTGCTGCAGTGTGCGCAGCCGTGCCCACGAGCGCCTGCGTCCTTGTCCGTCCGGGGCTCGCTGTCGACGCCGCAGGGGTACCGCAGCCTCGAGCCGCCTGTTTAACCTGCGGCCCCAGAGCCCGGAGGAACGGAACACGAAGAGCAGGCTTTGTCACCAGACCCCCGCAGCAGGCATGGGCGGCTGGGTGGGACCAGGGCGGGCGGAGGGAACGAGAGCTGTGTGCGATTCAGGAAGTTTTAATGAGGAGGCTGGCAGGGCTGGGGGGCGGCATCACCACGGAGACCTTCCGGCAGATGTCACACTGCTGCTCGACCCCCCTGCCCCCCGGCGCTGCGACGCATCTGAACCCAGAGCTGCGCTCCTGCGGAATGTCACACCTCCGGCGCTCCGCCGCGCGCCTGTTTTTGTTTTCCTGTTTTTCTTTTTTTTTCTTGCCGTTTCAAACCCAGCTAGGTAAGACAGAGCTGCTAATGGGAAACAGTGTTACTTTTCAAAACTTTACTTCTTTATTTGCTTGTTTTCTTGAATTTTTTTTCTGAGCTCAGTTTTTTTTTTAATCCAGGATCTCGTGATCTGCAGTCTCTCCCTCTGGCAGTATGGGTCTGCTGGTGCGTCTGTCTCTGCAGCAGCCATGACACCAGGAGGCGTTCCGATTCGCTTCATTCTGTCCCAGGGTTTTCACTTCCGCTGTAGAAGCGCGCTGCGTCTCGTCCAGCTGCGCTCTGGGCAGGGGGAGTGTGTGTTTGAGGTGGGCCAGGCGGCCTTGCGCTGACGGTTTGTCGCTGTGTGTCCCTATGCAGACACCGTACCATGTGAACCTGCTGCTGGCGGGCTTTGACGATGCGGACGGTCCGGCGCTGTACTTCATGGACTACCTGTCGTCGCTGGCCAAGGCTCCCTTCGCTGCCCATGGATATGGAGCTTTCCTCACACTCTCCATCCTGGACCGCTACTACAGGCCAGGTCAGCCCCCCACCCCCGCCCTGCGCGCCCCTCGGCACAGTATCTCTCCCGTGCTCTTACAATAACTATCTCTCCCTGTAGACTTGACGCGGGAGGAGGCTGTGGACCTTCTGAAAAAGTGTTTGGATGAGGTGAGAACTGTCTCGCAGCCTCGTTGCACTCCTGACTTCCTGCCAGTCTGTCTAGCTGGACTCTGTCCCGCAGTCCGGATGTGTTGGTCTCTCTGGACCCGGTCAATACCATACAAACGAGCTTCAGTGGTATGACGTTAAAATAGAAAAGCATTATGGAATATTGCACAACATTCTGGTGTACGGTGCACTGCAGTGCTTCTCAGGGGAGGGGTATCTCACACTAGTCTCTCTCTCTCTCTCTCACCAGCTTAATAAACGGTTCATCCTGAACCTGCACTCATTCAATGTACGGCTCATCGACAAGGATGGCATCCACGACATGGAGAAACTTCCGCTGGCTGGGGAGCCCTGACCCCCCAACCTTGACCCCCCACCTGCTTTTTGTACCAGAGCCTTTTAAATCTTTCCGTCTCCAATAAAATCAGTGAATCACTGAAACTGTCTGACACTCTGCTGCTGTCTGAAAGACGCTGGGGCATGACTGATGAAGGGACTCTGGCCTGTCTGCTTCTGCCTGTGGAATTGTGTGCGCTTGTCTCATCCGTCTGTCGGGATAGAAGAGTCTTTACACTGGGGTTCTCTTTCTTTAAGCCCTGCTTTTCACTGTGCTGGATTGAGAGCTGGGCGTGAGGGAGCAGGAGGGTAGGGAGGAGTTGTAAAGAGAGGACATGTCCATGCAGCTCTCGGTGGGTTTCTTGGCTGCTGGTTGTTCTGTGCCAGTACGCAGTCTGGTAGTGCTCTCTAAGCGTCCATGCCGATGCAGTATGTGAGGAGCTTGTTAACCCTCTGTGCTGAGGAGGGCACTTTGCTGTGCGCCTGCCCCCAGCCCCCAGAGACGGGGGGGCAGAGCCGTCTCCTCGCTGCTCTGCAGGCAGGTGATTAATAAACATTAAACAATCAGTCGGAGCCGCGCGTCGGGGGGAACATATGTTGTGCCTGGAGGCGGCGAGACTTGGAGAGCAGCATCCCTACCAAGCGAGAGAGAGGAAGGGGGAGGGGGCGCGAGGTCACGGCGCGAGAGTGGGAGCGAGAGTGAGGGGGACAGTGGGGTGAGAGGTGGATGGGGGTGTGAGGACATGGCATGGGAGAGAAGCGCAGCTTCACAGCTCTGCCAGCGTCTGCGGCTCTCCCTGGGCAGTGTGGCAGGATTCTTAACGAGCTGTCAACGACTGTTAGGACTGGCAAGAAAGAGTGTCCATAAAAGGGGTTTTGAAGGTTTTTTTTTTTTTGCTGAGATACTGAGACATCTCTCATGTTGGTCGTAGTGTCGAACATTAACAGTCACTGCAGTACAGCAAACACCAAGCACTGAACTTAGTATGCTGACCCCTGCGTATCGCTCAGAATACCGGAGACCGGAGCAGAGAGGCTGGAGTATTTGTGAACATGTGGAGTGTTTCCCCCACACTGGGTTTCAGCAGATCGGGTCACCGTACTGAGTCCTTAAACACGCTGGGCTGAACGACGCGCGCTTCACTGCCATCCCAGAGCAGGGGCGGCTTCAGCTAGGAGTTCTGATCAGCTGCAGCAGAGGGGAGGTTTTACCGATCAGGACGATATCCTGATGATGATTGGGCAGTCCTGACGGTCAGCACGTCACTGTACAGCGATGTCAGCGGAGCAGGTGGGGGAGCTGTTCGGTGAGGTCAAGTTGGTCTACAGTGGCCAGGTATGCAACACAGCTGAGCGGGATCAAGCATTCAAAAATATCGGATCCCACTCGAACCAGGCAGTGTAAACGTACCTAAACCTTCTGAGTCTTGACATTACATTCTGGAAACGTCAGACTTGAGAAGAACAGGTATCTCCCTCTCTCTACCTGTCTGCACGCCCTGCTCTCAGCTGCCTTTTCACTGCAGGCTGAACAGTCCCATGAAGCAGATTCTCCAGGATACTTCACCCAACAGCTGGAATAGGCTCTCAGATTAGCTACTGCGTTACCTTTCTGATGTCCATGTGAGTGGGGTTTCAGCAGTGTGAGGAAACAGTTTGGAATGGTTCTGTATGATCTGGAAAGTGACTGGATCAGGCAACACAGGTGTGTCATAACAGGTGGTCACAGGTAGTTTTTGGCAATGAACTGAACCCCAGGACTGAGTCTGACAATGAAGAGTCACTGAACACAGCTCCTTGAACCTCAGGACTGAGTCTGACACTGACGAGTCACTTAAAATCATTTAACACAGCCCCCTGAACCCCAGTACTGCTCCAGGACAGAGTCTGACACTAAAAGGACAGTGAACACAGCCCCCTGTACCCACTACTGATGCAGTACTGAGTCTGGCTCTGAAGAATCACTGAACACAGCCCCCTGAACCCCAGGACTGCTCTAGCAATGGAGGAGACCCTCCACAAACACTGACCCCTATTGTAGCCATCAGGCACAGGACAAGTATCAAGGAAATTCTTTAATAATATATTACATTTACAGTCTAATATTATGATGATATTAATAATTATTCAAATTCAACATTGGATACAAAATGGTTTGCACTTTTTTTTTACAGATCGACCCCCCCCCACCACCCACACACACATCCCACTCACACAGCTGCCTTGAACCCCCCCACCAGCCCGAGAACGTCCCAGAGTCCCCACTCTCGAAAGACAACCCCAGGACAGGTTTCCCCAGACCACCAACAGGGAACTGACCCTGTGGAGCAGACCACTGTGTAGGAGCTGTATAGTACTGAACATGCAGTTGTGTAGTAGTTGAATAGTTTTGTTAAAACAGTTGCGTGGTTGGGGGTGTGTGTTGATGCAGTTGTGCGGTG